TGTTGCGGCTTCAATTAATATTTGTACATATATATATTCAATTTTGTTAGTGTTTATAATTTTTGTAAATATTCAATTTTGTTCGTGTTTTTCAGGTAGTCAATATGTTGTATTCTATTCTAGTTGTATTCAATTTTAAGGCATTTATTTGTGTAGGTATAGGTAAATATTATTTTTCTTAGTATAGGTAACTCAGTAATTTAACAAAGAGATCGGACCAGGTAGGTCTCACAATATCAGTAATCAATGGAAAACCCAAGTCCGTAGCTACGTCATCACTTCGGAATGTACCGAAGATACCGGAGGGGTGCATAGTGACGGCGAAGGGGTAATGTGTACGATAGGCGTTGCCTAGTTTGTGTCAACGTTATTTAAACAACGACATTTCAAACTTTTAGTATTCGATATTCAGCATTCTACATTCAACATTCAATCAAATCGACATTCAAAATTCAGCATTCATCTATCAATTCAAATCAATCAACAAGTATTCAATTATAAACCAACAATATTCAAATACAATTAAATAGTTAATAAGTGTACATAGTGTATTATATTGTACAAAATAAACAACAACCCAAAAAAAGTGATTTATTCATCAACAAAATCCGAAAGAATATATGGGGCAGTGAGCGAATACTGCAACCACCGAACAGATATTGTAAATTTTCTACACACACTTGCTGGGTCGACAGTAGATATTCTCAACGGTAGACCTTAAAGGTGACTTCTAGCAAAGTTGCCTTTTGATATTCCGAAGGCTGGGAGATATCAATCCGAGACTGAGCCCCAGAAATGTCTGCTGTTTTAAGAATCAGTCAACTATCTGGGACACGTAGTTTCGAGGACTGACGTGTCAATCGACCTGCAGGGGATTAGAGCAGTGCAGGAATGGCTAGGATCTACCGGCGTACATTAACTTCTTTGGTTTGTACATATTACAAACGACTCGTTCCGGATTTGTCAATATGCTAAGCTCCTGCCACGATTTAGCGGAAGATGTAGACCATTCTGCTGAGAACCGGACTGCCAGCCTCGCTTCCACACCCGTGTAAAGTTCGGAATGAACTAGGACAGGGGTCGGCAACCTGCGGCTCGCGATGTGGATGTGAAGCTGTGGCTCTTTAGTTCCATATGAAAATATTATTTATTTTATCAAAAAAAAGAAACATTTAAAAATTGTTCTAAATTGATTAACGAGGACAGGGGTCGGCAACCTGCGGCTCGCGATGTGGATGTGAAGCTGTGGCTCTTTAGTTCCATACGAAAATATTATTTATTTTATCAAAAAAAAGAAACATTTAAAAATCGTTCTAAATTGATTAACGAGGATTAGGCACTGATTCTATCTCTCAGCCACTTGTACTCGCTTTTTTCACCGCATCCCAATAGTCTTCCAGATTGTTACAGTGAGTTGAAGAAGTTGACATGTGGAGTGCTGACTATCTTCGAATTGACATATTCGTGCTAGTAAGCCCTTGCATGAATATAATTAAAAGTAAAGTAAGAAGCCAACTAACAAATGAAAATTTAGAGTCGTGTTTGAAACTTAAAACAACAAGTTATGAGCCAAATTTATCCAAACTTTCTAAAACCATGCAAAGCCAACACTCCCATTGAATTTGTTTGGTCAAATGTATGATATTATTCTTTTTTTATTCTAACTACAAGTTTAGTAAAGTTTAAATTTTCTACTTGAATAACCATGAAAAGCCATGGCTCCCATTTAATTTGTTTGCTCAATATGTTTGTTACTGAAGTACAAGTTAGTGTTGTATATAAATAGATATCTTTTCTTATGAATAAATAGATTAGTTTTTTATCCAAAAAAATTATTTAAATTTTGTGGCTCTTTAAAAAGTTTTGTAAATTGTAATTTTCGACTCTTCTGACTCAAAAGGTTGCCGACCCCTG